TCTCACACGTAATCTGCCTCCCTACGCTTACTGCAATTATTCCTGTTACTTAATGCTTTAAAACTTTTATTTCCCCAACTTCACAGCACTTCATCACTTGAAGTAATCTTCATTTCATTTAACTGAAGGGAGCAAGTACTATTATCCTTCCTCCTTTATTTGGAGATGAAGTGAGTTGCCCAAGGTGATACACTGAGTCAGGTGCCACCCAAAGCCAGCACTCCTCACTTCTAAGTCCTACCTTCAGATTTCCTGGACAATCATGTCCTTATTAAATATATAATGACTTTACTGTGGGAGACTTCAAAGAGCAGCAGCCGAGCTTGCTGTCCCTCTTGGCAGCACTCCCTGAGCAGAGGAGAGCCCATGTCCCTCAAGGAGACAGCAGGAGAATACAGTGCACATCCAGCCCCTGCCAAATGATGACTGGTACCAACAAAAAGATTTGGCAAAGCAGGGTGGTCTACAGCACTCACACCCTCTCCTGGCCGTAGACTGGGTTCTTGTTCCCAGTGGGATTTTCTTTCTTTTGCATATGTCAGTAAGAAAATGAGAATGAGTGGCCCAGGGACACCAGCAGGGAACAGACAGAATAATGCCAATGCCAATAGCAAATAATTTAAAAGACCAGCAGGAAAGACTAACATTTGAAATTACTGACAAATCCCTGAGCTGTCAATATTATTGAGTATTTTCTGTCACCCTCCTGACGTTCCACTTTTATTCTGAAATAGCTGGTACAGGGAAGAGGGGAATATTTTTTACAGCTGTGCTCCTGCAGCTTGGCATCCAAGACTGGCGTTCCCAGTGCAGGTTCTAATGCAAGCTGACTAGCCTGAGCAGTAACGCTGCCCTCAGTGCTGGGAGGCAGGGACTGGTCAGGGTGAGCATCCTGTGTGACGGATGCAGGGATTTGCTGCCAGGAGTAGGCCTGGGGCAGTCCAAGTGTTCAGCACTCATTCAACATCTATTTTATAAAAGAAGACAATGCAAAGACACAAGGATAGGGAAAAGGAATGAAATTAGGAACATCAGAAGCTCATTAAGTGCCTCTCTGGAAGTCAGTTAATCTCCTTCCCCTCAATGTCCCTGTGGAAATCACGGGTGATGACATTAAGAGTTAATCATTGGGAAGCAAGATTTATCTTTGTTTTGTCCCAGCAAACAGCAGAGTGCCACAGCAGCAGCTCAGATGCAGCTACCTACATTCCAGCAGGATGTTTTTGGTTACCAGCAATAGTGCCCTCCCAATACAAGGTCAACAAAGGCACAGCCAGCAACGCTGCAACACGGATCTCCCCTTGGATATCAGACACACGTACCCTGTGCACAGACGTGCCTTTCCAAGGCTGCCACATGGCTCTGCCCCAGAATCCCCCAGCACTGCCAGCAGCATCAGTTGTTCCCACACAAGAGGTTCTGTTGTTTCAAAGTGAAGTAGCCCGGGGCATGCTCCTGGTGTACTCCACACCCTACGGCTTTTGTATCCCTCTCAGGTGTTCTGCAACCCTTGGCTTGCTCCCAGCTGTGAAGCCCAACACTGCTGATGGATAAGCCAGCAGCAGGAAACCTTCAATATTTTATCCATTGTGATACAGACACTGCTCAGCACCTTGCAGGCTCACTCCAGGCTACTGCTCATGCCAACATGGTTATCATTCAGTATCTTTCCACCTCGCATAATTATGACCCCAAAACTCTTATTACTGCTAATGTTAAAACAGGGTTGGAATACTCAATAGCCCCACTAGGAGAGGGCAGGCAGCACCCTCAGCACTGCAGCAGAAGCACCCACTGCTTCTGAGCACTCAGTGCTTGTCCTGCCCTTGGCTGTGATCTGCTTAAAGCCTTGACCCAATAACCAAGGTAATAAAATAGCAAAGACCAGGGGAAAGACTGGAAGGTGATACTCCAGAGGAATGAATAGAAAAATAAAGAGAAAAGATAAAGATGAACTAGTGGTCACACAGAAAAGTGTATTTACAGAACAGGCATGTAACAACAATATTTAGTGTGCACTTGCCAAAGAGCAGCCTTTTTTTCCTACAACTGGTCCTTTTTCTGCCCTTCAAACACTATTTCAAATGCTAACACTTGTGATTGCAGTGATTTAATATTTTAATATTCTAATATCTGACTTGGTCTGGAAGTTGAAATTCCCATTATCATCCTCTTACTTTTGTTTTATTTGAGGGCATTTGGGTATTTTTGTTTGTTTGTATAACCATGAAGAAGTTCAAGCAGAAAAATAAATTCACTAATATCTTGTATTTCATTATTTCTGATGCCTAACCCATGAGGCTGGTAATAAAGGCGGTAGATAATTTACCTGATCACTCCTATTACTCCCTCTAAAAGAGCCAGAATAAGAGAGATCACTTGTTCAATAGCTGGTCCTTACATGGCCAGAAACCTGTGTAGCTCAGCCACCACTTAGCTGGTGGAAGGCATGATTATCAAGAAATAGGACAGGCTTAAAGAAAAAGAAAACTGAAAGCAACAAAAGGACAAAAAAAATAAAAAGTCCCATCTGAACAGGAAAGACTGGATGCTACATTTTGATACATCTCTGCTACCTCAGTTACATGAAAGGGTGTTCACTTCAGAACTAGCCAACAGTCAAATAATTCACTTCACCATTCTCTTTTCCAGAAACATGTGTGAATTTCCTCTATTTCCATTCACTATTTCTCTACCAAAAGACTTAAGTCACAATAATATTTTTTTCAGACATCAGTAGTTAACAAACATCTGTTTTCTGAGTCTATATACCACTAAAAAATATTCCCTTGCTAAAAAGTCCACTTGGATAGCATGTGCACACAGAACAAAGCTTGCCTAGTACAAAAAATGAATCTTCAAAGTGTATAACCTGCATCTCACCACTCACACTATCTATTATTTCGTGCAAGTCACTCCACTGTGGACAATGAGAACACACTGGTCATTTGCAGTTTCTTACCACAGAGCACTTACTTGAGTTTTCTGACCCTCGTTCTCTGCACACTGCTTTTAAGGTTTGCACTGCACAGCCAGTTTCTATCAAAATTTCTTTCTAACATCTGAGACAAAGGAAAATTCAAAGTTTTTGACATCTGAACTCAGAGACTTCTAAATCCCCATTCCCAGCAAGTATGACCCTTCTTCTAAGAAGAGCTACAGCTTATCAGAAATTCAGATGAGTAATAGTGATGACAAACCTATACCAAAGGTTTTCAGAAAAATTAGTAACTGGTTCTTGCCATGAAGTGCTCACTTGGCTGAAAAAAAAAATACCACTGCCTCTGATAACAGACAATAGTAATGAACCATACAAAGGAAATAATGGGTTATTTCATGCATTTGACAGCTTACTACAGTTTAAAAAGATTTGTGAAGATGAAAATGCATTTCATTGATCTCAAACTATTTCATTTTAGGTATCTGTAGCAATTATAGCTAACATTTTTCAGACAGAATTGTGGTTCTTGAATTACAGTGTCATTTCAAAGCAACAGTCAAATTAATCTAGTCAATTTTTCCAGTCCTCAAGTCCACAGGGTTAAGGTTTGACAAGTTCCAGTCTCATCTGTAACCAAATTAGAGCAAGCATTCGTACACTACCAAAGTGCCAGGCAATGAGGCAGCCTCTCCTTGAGGAGGCAGCTCCTTTCCTCCCCCTGCAGCCTCCAAGGGAAGAGCAATTCACCCCAGCAAAAAAGCACAGGTGACTTACTAAGAGAGCTTTGGGACCCCTGCATTGTCACATTGTACAGCTGACTTTCAGGAGGGAGCTGCCAGTTACTGGGATTGCCAGGGAGGCAGCTCCACAGCAGCCACTGTGGCATCTCTGCCTCCTTCCCTGTCAGTACTGCCTCCCCTGCTGAAATCTAACTGTAGCCAAAAAAAGCAAAAACAAAAAGCTAGCAATTAGTGTTCAGCCAGAGCAGTCCCCTGAGGCCTCTCACCATGACCTTGGCAGCTCCCTGAGGAGCACAAAGAGGGAAGAAACAAAAGACTGGAATGGATAAAAAGGTGAGGCTGTTGAGTTACAAGTGGTGTAAACCATTATGAGATCACATCTCTCAGTTACAATCTGACTTTTTTGACAGCAAAATGAAGCTGTGAACTCAACACTATTACCAGGAATTCAATGCATCAAAAGGTGACTTCAGAAATGGCCCCATGGCCATCGCTCTCAGCAAAGAGGCCAAGGGCATCACTCTGGGAAAAGCACATCAGGAGAAAGGACCTCCCTGCAACACCACAGGACACTACATGGCTTGTGGAGGATATCCCAAGGTCAGGGACACATTGTGGTTAACCCTCACAAGGGAGCAGAGCATCCCACCCAGCAAACTCTGGGCTCTCAAGGCAAATCAGGTGCCCAATTACTGTTAGGTTGATTAAACACAGTCTTAACAAGGACTGAGATTCCATCTTAAGCCTTTGACTTTGTAACAACACATCTTAAGCGCTCCACGTCCTTGGGGAGATCCCTTTTCTTGCCTCTTCTTGCTGTCTTAGTGAAACAAACATTACATTTTCCTGGGCCCTTACTGGGGCAGTGGTTTTGATCCAGTGAACAGCCATGGCAGCTTCACAAAACCGCGATAAAACTTCAGGGTATTAGACAATATATGGAAAGTCACAACAACGTGTATTTCAGATCTTTGCCCCTCAGCTAATCTCCATTCATTCCACTTCCACATTCCCATCTCAAATTACAGCAGCAGCAAACACAATGTTGCATCTAAGCCTCCAAATGCAAAATTAATAGAAGCTACACAAAACGTAGCAGGATCTAAAAATAAGCGAAGACAGTGTACCTTAAATTTGCACCCCAAATTTGTTTTCTACTGACAAATACAGCTTTGGCAAAAGACCTAACTACAGGGAGCATTAAAAGTGATATCAGACGTTTTTCCAGCAGTTGCCTGTACCAGAGCTCTTTGGGAAGCTTTGCTGCAGGCCCATGCAGCACAAGGAAAAGGAGTTTGGTGCAAGGGGCTCACACTCACCGTCTGCAGAGTTTCCTCCTGTCTTCTGCTTTGGCTCTGTCGGTTGATAAAGGAGCGTGTCGAGAGTTTGTAATGGTTCAACAAGCAGATGATCACTACCACCATAACAGTTATAACCACGATTATAATGATGATTTGAACAAACTCCAGTTCAGCTAAAACAAAGAAAAAAGAGGAAAATGTGTCATCAACACACAAAAGGTTAACCATCAAAGCAACAACCTGAAAAGAACCTCAATATTTCTCTGAGATTGATCCAGCTTGAGATACTATTGCTGTCCATGCTTCAAAGTTCCGTGAAGAAAACTGCTCTAAAAAGTATGAAAATTATTTAATTTTTGCCATAGCAAATTGATCAGCATGAGTGGCTGTAGGTCAAAGCTAACAGGCTTCTTGGTGATCCTTCTCTGTAGCCTCCAACGGTAAGAAACTCTTCAACATAAACACCACAGATGAGACTTCTGGAGAAAACAATTTCACCAAACAAAAAACCAAAGAAACCACATACACACAAGCCCCACTCTATCTTAACAGCCACCTGTAATACCAATAGAGTCCAGAGGACACTACAAGCTCCAAAGCATGAGAGGAATCAGGACACTTGATCTAGTGCACTACCCTTCATTTTTTTATCAAGTAAATAGGATGAAAGCTATTTAACTAGAGTGGGAAACTTTAAACCTATTGAATCTACATGCATTGTCTTTTTCAATTACTACCTTCTCTCCAACTAGCATAACACTAACTTTTCTAGGACTTTCCCAGTCAGGTAAAGATCTAAAAAGAGCTCTGGTACTCCAAAACAAGATATGCTCCAGCACAGTTAAAAATGAAACCAGGACCTTGTTTTTTGCAAGACATACACTTACAATGAACTCCGTCAGAACCCATCATCTTATCTGAAGCCTTGCCTATACCACAAATATTAAGTATATTTAGAAATGAGTCACTCTTGCACCCTTTTGGCTACACTGGAGCAGCAAGGATGAGCAATGTAAGGGGAAAAATTGCCCTTTGGAGTTACCGAGTTGATGATATTTCTATGGAAACTGCATTGCTCACAGGGGATGCTCTCATCTTGAAAGACAACTCCAGCTAATGGGAGGAGGTCTTTGGTTGCTAGGCTAGTAGAAAAAGCGAAGACGCAGCTCAAGTTGCTCAGTTTCAGTACTTTCCAAAAAGGGCACTACTTTCTGGATGCAAAAACATGAACCTTGGGGAACTGGTTAAATTTCTGTTTTAAAAAGCTAATGAGGAAAGAGAGATGACATATGAAGATGAAAGGACAGAACAAGTATCAGAAAACAAGTCCCCTTCCTCTCTCCATCTCAAATTTGTAGCTGCCCTCAGCTTTCTGTGTGACAGCAGAACACTTGTGCAGACACAACACAACTGTGAGGCCAAGCTAGAAAAACGCCACTCAGACAAAATCCAAGATGAAGCTGCAGTGGACCTAAAGGAAACCCAAGGCTGTTTCATTATTCTAAGATCTCTTGCACACAGAACATCAGGCTACAGAAGCTGCAAGTGTGCTGGTGCCAAGGTCCAGCTATCACAAGCTACCAGCAGGCACAGCCACACCACTGAAGTGCTGGGGGTCTACCATCATCTCCTGAGGAGTAACTAAGCCTGCTTAAGACTAAGGAAATACTAAAGGGCAAAAATATTTCTATCACTTTATCACTCTTTGCTGTTAAGTACTTTCCAGTCATCATTAAGACCACCAACATTTTTAAAGAATTTGGTTAGTCAGTGCTTTGTGCTCTGCTTTTGCTATCAACCCCACACGGAGGGCAGCGATCTTTCTCTTTCCCCTCTCTTGCGTCACTGGAAGCCAACAGTGTCGGCACCAAAAGATCAAAAAGCCGGAAGAACAGAATTAATTAAAAAATAAACCCACCCAAACCACAGCTCGGTTAAAAGTCAGTTTTTCTTGGCTCAGAAACACAGAACACAGACTTTACACAGTTGACAACTTCTGCAATTCACTGAAGTACTAAAGTACTGAAGTACTAAAGGGTTTCTTTAGCCAAACTTTTTTTTTGTGTCCACGTCACACTTCAGACTGGAAATTGAGAGACTGCTGCTAAAGGGCAACATGCAAAACAAGCAATGTTGATTTAGGCTTTCCTAGAATGCACAGATCACTAGAATGACATGTTACCTCTCTATCAGCCAAGGACAGAGTCTTCTAAATTTATCGAGGCCCCTGCATTTCAGTGGCAAGGGACAGTACCTCTCCCTTAGAGATGAGTGATTTGGTCTGTGAGCACTTCCCGTGGGAGGGAATCATTTGAAAATGTTTTAATCAAACACGGCCATACAATAAAGAAAATAAAAACCACAGCATACAGCTGTGAGCGCGCGGGATTTCCCACCTCCAGTTTACACTGTAAACACCAAACTGCAACGAAACACCTTACTGATATTCAAGAGGATTTACTCAATGGAAAGCAGGAGAAAAATCAAAGATAATTTTAAATGTCTTCTTGCTCCTGAGTGACATTCCTGCTGCTCATTAGGTTATTAGCAGTAAAAAGCAAAGGCACACAGCAGCGGCAGTCTGTATTTGCTGGCACTGTTCAAGGCCATTTAAATAGTTCCTAGAGGCTGCTGACAGGCAATGGGTCACCCCGGCCCCCATCATCTCTCCTGCCCAACACCTGCCAGGCGTGAAGGGCCACCGCCGCCTTCCAGACAGGCATCTCCGCCTGCCCACTTGTCCTATAAATTTACTGGGAAAGAAGCCTGGCAAAGCTTCAGGAAGAGAAATGCCTTTTCGGGGTTTTACTACCCCGAGCCTGTCACACTCACATATATCCGTCCCTTTACACGCAAGAAACAACACTTCTAATAAAAAATCTCCAGGGGGGAAAAAACCCTAAAAACAAACACAACGTTTCTGGGTAAACGCCCAACACGGAGAAGACAACTAACTACGCGTGGATTCAAATCACCTTGTCAGAAGAGCTCGGAAAGAGAGGCACGATTGACAACCCTACCAGCGATCACAGCAGACCGTCACCCCGAACCTCCCCCGGCACACAGAGCCCGCAGCTCCGCCGCTGAGCGCTCCCGGGCGGGCCGGGCTGTGCGGTGCCCCGGGCCGCATCCCGCGGTCCCTGCCCCTGCGGACGCGCCGGTACCTCTTTCCAACAACAGGTCTTTTAACCGCGCATCCTTCACCGCTGTCTTGTTAAGCCGCTCACTGGACATGCTCGCCTCCGCCGGGCGGGGGGCTCAAGCCGCTCCGCCAGCCCCCGCGGCGGGCACCGCATCCCCGGCAGCCCCGGGGATCTCCATCCAGCGAGGGGACACGGTCAGGGAGGCTGCCAGGNGCCGGGACGGGACCGCGCGGGGCCGGACGCGATCCCGGCCCTGGGCGCTTCAAAGGGCAGCGGCAACCAAATCTCACCCCCAGCGTCACACAGACAGCCAGAGTGATCCAGGGATGCTCCCAGCTGCGCGGCCGCGGGATCCTTACCCAAAGTTTCACGGGCAGTCGTGCGTGTGCGTATGCGAAAAATACGAGGGAGTCGCATCCTGGAGCTCTACTGTAAAACCATCGGAACCATCGGAAGGAACAATGCCTGTAACCTCAAGTTTAAAAAAAAACCGAAAACCCGAACAAATTAAAGAAGGAGGGAAAAGAAGAGCAAGGGGCTCCAGCCGCATGTGTGTTTCTTTGGCAGAACTCCCAGCCCCAGCACTGCTTGCCTTCCCCTAAAGCCCTGTGCCTGCCAATGAACCCCTGTGCCTGCCCCTAAACTCATCTGCCTACCCCAGAACCCCTGTGCAATCCCTCAACCCCTCTGGCCCCCCTGAACCCCTATGGCTGCCCCAGCCCTGCCACTGAGCCAGCCTTTCTGACGCCTTTCTGGCTGATAAACACTGCCAGACGGGCTCCTCATCCCAGTCCCCGCCTGTATTCCCACTCGGAGCACCACAGTGGAGGGCAGCAGCAGGGACTTAGGGCTGTCCCTGCTTCCACCGTGCATAGGAGCAGCACAGTCCCACAGTGTTAGGAACATTAGTGCCACGTTAGGAAGCACCATTAGCAGCCTGTATTCCCAGGATGTTCCTCCTATACTGGCTTCACCATCATGGCCAAGACTCCTCCTGTTCCTAGTTACTCCTCTGGATTATGGTGGCATCCCCAGAGCACTGAGTAAGACCAGTGTGTTTATCTGAACAAGAAAAGTGAGTTCACCCTCTGGTCCACACTGGGCCAGGGCCTTGGAGCTCCTGAAAGCAGAGGAGATGGGCTGCAGCACTGGTGAGGCTCCATGCCCCTCTCCCAGCAGGCCGTGGCTGGCTCAGCTCAGCTCAGCTCAGCTCACACCAGCACTGCTCTCCCCCACACACAGCACAGGCCCCCAGGAGGACGCTCTGGAGCTGACCATGGAGGCAGACCCACCGCTGCCCATGCCTTTCATGCTTGTAAATCCCATGGACCAGCCTCAAATAAAAAGATGCCCTAACTCAAAGTCAAAGAGCAAAAGCCAGGAGGGGAAAGAGGCTGAGAGGAGTGGGCCCGCTTACAGTTACCTATCAAGCTAGCACTATGAAGAGCCAGGGGGTTAAAAATATTAGGGAGACATATCCTACTATATATATCCACAGCACACAGCAGGGCCCCTCTCCTGGTTACAGGCTATCCCCACTGTCTGGATTTATTAAACTGTTGTTGACGTTTAGCTTGATACTGCAAGGTCTAAGGCCTCAATCCAAACACAACAGTCAAGCTGGGGGACAGTGATTGTGGACTGTAAATAAATATCCTTTGAGAGTTCCTAGAAGAGCAGAATGAGTTTAAATTATGTGTCAAGGGAATGCTTTTGTGCAAGCGGAGTATTAACCAAGTACAGCACTGTTACCAGAGGAGAGAAGTAATTCAGTACAGATAGCAGATGTGGAGCACCTTCAAATTACAAGCTGATTGTCCTTAAACTACTTTGAAAACAATTAATTCAACAGACCAGACTTCTAAACATGGATGTTGTGTGGGCATACCCACTCAATGTGTACAGAGCTGCTGCTGAGGCAAATTACCTTCCTGTTGCAAACTCTTTGTTTTCAAGGACTTTGTAAGACGTTTCTGAGTCAAAGACTGACCTACATACATCATTTAAACCTCATGTTTAAAATGAGAAGT